AGAGCTGTTTTGAAAGGATAATGCAGAGGTTTGGAAGGAAAGCTGTGTACATTGTAATAGGAGATGGTGTTGAAGAGGAACAGGGAGCAAAAAAGGTATAGTTTTGTGATACAAGTCTCAGCTCTTCAAGTTTTCATTTCAGTGGCTCTTTCCTTAACTGAGCATTAAACAAACTCTTTCTCCACTAGACTGCTTACAATTAGTTGCTCAACCCTGTTTGCAAATTTTCACAGCATTGCAAGTAATTTCCTACTATAAATCCTACCACTACCCCCCTGGCAGCCATTACAACCTTTAGTCTCTCTGAGGAATACAGCTAGTTTCTATCACATGTTCCAGGAACTGTTTCTGATTAATAAAGATGGCATTAGACACATGAAAAGAAAAACCATACTTGTGTGATCTCAGACCAGCAAGCATAGTGAGTTTCTGATCTATACGGCACTCTTATAACCTCCAAACTCCAGTGGAATTCTTTGGGAGTGATTTATTACAGCATATTATACTCAGTGAGGTCATGGAGGCTAATGTCATTACAAGAAATACCAAAGGGACTAATAGTGAGTGGCTGTGTTTGTTTTATTAATGATTTATGGAACCATTTGATTAATTTTAACAAGAAAAAGTAAAATGAGGTTGGGCATATTGAATACAAACAAAGTAAGATGGAAGGATCTTAAAGTAACATAATTGAGGACAACCGACCCAGAATGCTGGTGTTACATTCTCACTGGCCAGGTGTAGTCACAAGCATCCAAAGAGAGAGATGAAAACCAAATGTTTAGCTTTGTGCGCACATCATAAGACACTATGTGAAATGCCATTAGTTGATGGGTGGAAAGGTCCAGGAAAATAATACCTGATTTTTAGGTATCAACTGAAGCTTCCAGTTTGAGATTGCCAAATCATTTCAAATACAGGAAGAGGTTACCTGGATCTCAAATTGAATTTATATTTTGTAACATCTTGACTCTTCTCTTTTTTAAAAAAAGGACAATTTTGTGCATCTTTTCTTCCCTGAGACCAGAGCCAAGCTGCTGAAATATTTTGATGTGGGCAGTTACCTGCATGGCTCATGCCTAACAGCAGGCTTGGATGTTGTCAGAGCTGTAAGAAAGAAAGATCATCCTAGCAATCATTGTTTGGATAGATGGAAGAGGAGAGACAAAAGTGATGGAGATGTCAAATGGGAGAAGCCAAAACTCAGGCTAGGATTATGTACTAGTGGAAGAAGGTGCACTTTGAATAGGGTACTAGAATGACATACAGTAGAAAACGATGGCAGGACACACAGACTTAGTGGGGATGGGGTGAAGTTCAAAGGCCCAATAAAACTGTATGGTTTTGGGTGACAAAGAGGATGGCAAAGCTACTAAATTTCAGAAAAGGGAAGAAGAGAGAATCGAACTGTCAGACTTTTATGGTGCAGCTCCCCAAGTACATGTAGTGGGTTTTGTTTGTGCTGATGAAGCCTCTGAACAGTTCAGAAAAGACCCCTAAAGTCACGAAGTTTTGTGGATTGGAAATCTGCCATTGCTTTGGTTTCAGCAAGGCTAGGCATGCCGTTAGTATATGGAACATGCCCTTCTTAGAGTGTCTTCCTATTTCCCCTTACAGCCCTAAGACTCTTGTGCTTCTGTTTTAACCCCTGGGTGATGTGCCTGGTTTGTTCCCAGTTGTTCTGAAGTGTGAGCAAACAAGTTCCAGACAAGGCTTGTCACACTGGGAGTTCAGGCTCCAAGCAAGTGTATTTGGGTCAGAACTTGCTCTGTTTCGAGTCCTGTCCCAGTGTTGCCTTCAAGCATCTGGGAACTTTTTCCACCCTGGTATATCACTTCCTGTTTCAAACCAGTTACCTGAATTTCCACGTGCTTATCTGATTTTCTAAGAGTGGGGAAGGCATCTAAGAAAAACCCAATATGAAAGTGGGCTGAAAGTGAAATGATAATAGCCTGCCATTTTCAACCACCCTGTGCTGTACTTCAAAGGTAGTGGATCAATGCACCTGACTGCATCAAAGGCTGCCAGGCTCCCTGGCGGTATGAAGCAGCAGGAGGGTTCAGTAATCTTCTACAGGCAGGATCTTAAGAGGCCTCTTGTATCTCCTGGCTTAAGCAATTCTCCCATTAACAGAACACATTGTTTGCTGGAACTGTCATGGCCCTTGATTGATGACAGTCATTAGTCAAGGCTGCTACACACCTGAGCTTTATAAAAAATGGGGCAGCAGAAAGCCTTTCACTGTTTTGTCAGCAGCACTGATAATATCTCAGTTTTAATGGGTCATTTTTCTTTACCATCTGATGACTGATAAATCTGAGAGAGCTGAACAATGGGTGTGGCTGAGAGGCCAAGTTTTCTGCTCTTTAAAGGATGAAAAATAGATCATTTAAATGGAAGAGATCTTATATACACATGGGGACGAGGAGGGAGGAAATAACTATTTCCCTCTGAAGTGAAATTGAAGAGCGTTGCACTCTAGTCACTTCAGATGTTCCTGTATTTGCTTGCTGTGTCTCGTGCTGGAGTAAACAGAGTGATACAAGGTTTCAAGGGATTTTTTTTTTTGTTTACCAATAGGCAACATACCCAAAAAGCGCCTGTGTTGCATTTAAATGTTAGAGCTGGGTAAACGCACTCGGGAGCTACTAGATTGTTCTACATAGGTAGCTGCACTTGGAAAGCATTTTCTTCCTTCAACAATTTTGTTTGTCCAGGAAATGAGATGCTTAACATTAAGACACCAGAATAAAGCCTCGTCTAGATAGTTGCTTTATCTGTACTGGTATTGCTCAAGGGCTACAACTCTCCTAGTATTTATGCAGTTATATCAGTTATTCCTATCAAGAAATGGGAATAAGATAGATAAAGCATTTTATACCGATGTTACTGCATCAACACTACGAGTGTTATAATATCACTGTGTTGGGTTTAAAAAAAACCCAAAAAGCACACAAGCATCACATTCCCAGCTGCAGTAATTATACCAATACAAAATCTATTTGTTGACCAGGACTTTGTCTTCATATCAAATAAAGATGGGTGAACTGGATTGGATTAAAAAAACCAAGTAAAACCTTAGCCCCCATGCTCTTCATAATCCCCCGTCCCCCCAACAATGAATTAAAGAAGCTTGAATAAGATCGAAGTGGAACATTTGGACCTTTTGAGGTTCTCTCATCCCGTCAGGATTGACCGTAGAAAACCATGGTGAGGATCAAGTGCTAGTCAGAAGCATCAAAACAATTGCTGCGCTATTATCAGAATATTGACCAGAGCCACGCTGTAACTGCATCACTTGTTTACTGGCACTGACAAATGACTAGTATTTCTTTGCTTGCAAACACATCTGGCTTTTGAAAGAAAGTATGTACAGTTTCCCTGGGTTGAACTGAGGCCTTAATATGACTGCCGTAAGGTCGATTGGATTTTTATATGATTATTGTGAAGAGAGATTTCAATAAAAATGGCCTATCAGTATTATAACAGCAAGTGCTTTAAAAAAAAAAATTGTAAAAAGTGATGCATCCAAGCATAAGGCAACCTCTGATAGATGGAAGCAAGGAGGAAACCTCCTTGAAAACAAGTTATTCTCTGTGTGCCTACTGTAACATTTCTTTCATCTTTCCCTGAGACAGCTGATACTGGTCTAGATGGGCTCAAGTTCCAAGGGAATAATTCATGAGCTACTCCTTGTGGAGGACTTTCTTCCCTGCAAGCAGAAATGTAATTGCTATAAAGCCAAAATCTTTATGCTTTTGATTAGGCAAGTGACTTCATTTTATCACAATTTGCTATTTCATGAAGAGGTGACTGCACAAAGATGGTGTTACTGGGAAGTAGATTATATGATGGCCTGTAGCACATGTTACAAGGAAGGATTTTCAGTTTGTGAAGATCTTCCAGCACTTCTTGCCTATGCTTTAAATACCATGAAATAGCACCAACGTTTTGTTTAGGAGTATAATTGTTCTAAAGATGTCCTCGCTAAACTCAAGGAAAAGTTGGAGGGTAAAATTTAGTGAATAATACAAAAATATTTGTAGGTATCTAGAGGCTTTGCCCAGCTCCATTTACCCTTTGAAGCAGGGCAGCATGTGAAAGTACTTCACAAACTGGCAAGGGTGTGCAGTGTCCAGCAGTTTGCTGCAGAATGGAAAAGTGTGCAGAGACATGTCTCCAGAGTGGACTTCAACCCTTTCCATTCCAAAAATGAACCTTATTGTCTATGTTATGACGAGCACATGACCAAAGCTTTAAAACTCCCAATTGCTCAGGGGGGCAAATTTGATCCTGCTCTTTAAAAACAAATCTTTTTGTTTCATTCTAGCACAACATGCCATTCTGGAGAATTTCTTGCCATGCTGACCTAGAGGCTCTTAGGCATGCCCTGGAATTGGAGTACTTGTAGCAGACTCAAATGTCTCGGTGCTGGGCTCACATCACTCAAACTGTTACATCACCTCAGCCTATTCTTCAGCATTTTTCTAAAACAGATCTCACAGCGACTTGAAGGGGAACCCTCTGTATAGAACCCTTTAAGAATCTACAACAGGAAATCTGCCCATCAAGTCCTTCTTCCTTTGGAAAGAGGAGAAAATTTCACATAACCAAGTGGGGATCCTGCGATTATCTGGTTAAACTGGATGCTTAGAGCTGAAACTGGACTCTGCCTGCTTTCTCACCACGTGAATGACTCTGAAGCACACAAAAGACTAAGAGTACTGGGTCTACTTATCAGTTTTCTTGCTTTGAAAAGGGGAAAGGACACAGCATGGAATCTCTGGGCATGCTCACTGCACAGTGCATCACATCATGTGGGACTTTCTGAAAATAAGAGTGAAAGTTGATTTTTTGTATTTTTTTTTAATTTATGAACTTATCTCATTACTCTGGTATTAAGCTCTGTACCTGTGTTTTTATCTTTTTTTTTTTTTATTTGGGGATGGGGGCAGTCCTACCATTCTAATTTAATAGTTCTTTTCTCCACGATAAACTCTGGGGACAATCATATTGTGTACATTAGTAATGAGGACACTTGGGGCTGTTGGTAAAAACTATAGCTATGTGTTTTTTTTAAACCTTCTATAGATGGTATGTGGACTGTGCATGTGTCTACACGGTGCCTTATGCTGCCATCTTGTTTTTTGGCGGGTGGGGACAGGGAAAATACCTTGTGATGAATGAAAGGCATTAAATAAAACTACGTTTACATTTGGGAGGACTAGAATACCTGCCTTTTTTTCTCTCCAGACACTGTTGGACCCCACGGCATGTCTAGAACTCTTGCCTCCTGTCTGAGCTACAGCTGGCCCAGGAGAACTCGGAGTAGAGATGCCCAAATGCAAAGAAGAAATTGTGGTCACCAATTGCTGTGGTGGCAGGGAGAAGAAAACAGCCAGCCAGATGAATGCAGCCATTGCCAGAGAACTTGGCTAATAAGCAAACGCTAATTTGGTTGTTAAGTGAATATAAGCAAGTAGTGCAGTTCTGCACATTTATTTTTGTTTGAGTACGTGAATACACTTGTAAGTTAGATTCAGCCTGTGGTTCCTGGTGAGCTCCCTAGGCGACTGTCAGCATCATAACATTTGGGCTCCCTGCATTACTATCTGTGTGGATTGCACTACTGCTTAGTCATCCCAGTCAAGAATCAGGGACTTATAGTGCGAGGCAATGTAGAACTTACATCGGGGCAGGCCAAGTCTGGCCCATGGGCCGGATCCAGCCAGCAGTGGACTCCATGTCACAGCAGCTCCTACCCATGTGGCTGGGGCCAGTTTCCATGGAGACCCCAGCAGTAGCCATGCTGTGAGAGGGTGGGGCCGGGGTTTCCATGGAGACCAGCACTTGCAGGCAGCAGTGGCTCGAGCCTCTTCCTTGCGGGGAGGTTGAAGGCAGGCTGTGCTATGGGCGGGAGTGGGGTGGGCTCAGCTGCTGCTGCCTGTGCAAGGTGAACTACAGCAGCAGCATTGGTGCCGGTGGGAGGGATGGTGAAGGCATGGAGCTGCTCTGGAGCCTGGCTGGGATCTTGCAGCAGTGACAGCATGATCCAGAGCCAGAGCAGAGCTGCAATCTGCAGCCTGCATGCTTCAGGCAGGGGCGTGCAAGCAGCAGATCGCAGCTCTGCCCCGGCTCTGGATCATGCCGTCACTGATGTAAGGAGCTGGGGCAGAGCCGCAATCCGCTGCCTCCATGGCCCTGCCTGCACGATGCAGGCTGCAGATTGCAGCTCTGCTCTGGCTCTGGATCAAGCTGTCACTGCCACAAGATCCCAGCCAAGCTCAGGAGCAGCTCCCTGCTCTGCCACGCACCCTGCCAGCGCCGCTGGGGCTGGTCTCTACTGAAACCCTGGCCACGCGCTATCACAGTGTGGCTGCTGCTGGGGGCTCCATGGAAACCAGCCAACCGGGAACGGGCTGGGGGGGCCTGGG